GAAGCGGCAGCTTGTGGCTTGCCACATCAGGCGGGGCAAGTTGAGCGCAAGTTCAATTAAGTAATGTGCAACGTGTAAATGTTTAAGTTCGATTTTGCTGTTGCAAATATTTACAAATCAACGGTTGAATTAAGTTTATTTGGTAAATGATAGCGGCGAGAGTGCTAAGGGTTATCGATTAGGAAATATACAATGAATTTTTTGAAAACAAATTATGTGATATATAAAAAGTTTTGAACAAAGAAAAAACCCTTTTAAGTGAATGTTCGTTTTTAAAAAAATAATGTTTGTCATTTCAGTATGTCATGCTGCACTTTGGTACAACGCTTGGAAACAGTGTTGCCAGATGTGAATATTTATTTGCAAAATGAAGATTTTTTTATAAGAAATATCATCCAAATCTTAAAATGAAGATCTTAAAACGAAATAAAAATTTTCAAGCAAAAAAATCTTCACTATCAAGATATCTGGCAATACTTCAAAATTTTTTGTGTAGTATACACACAAATTCACCACTTTTATCAGCTATTTGATTTCGGTGAGTCAAATCCTCGTTTGGTTCAGGAAACGCAATTTCGTTCCCAAAAATTTACTGTTTGGTGCAGATTGTGATATGGCGGCATCATCGAACCTTATTTCTTTCAAAATGATGCAGGAAATGCCGTTACCATCAATAGCGAGCGTTATAACACAATCTTTACCGATTTTTTTCCCAGAATTGGATGTAAACGACGCGGACGATCTTTATTTCCAGCTAGACAACGCGCCGCCTCATGTTTTACATCTAAACATGGACACATTGCGTGCAAGGTTTAGCGACTCGTTAATTTTGAAAAATGCCCGCCAAGATCATGCGATTTAACTCCTGTAGATTATTTTCTCTAGGGGTATGTTAAATTAAAGATTTAGGCCATTTATCCAACAACACTCGAGGAGCTCGAAGACAACATTCAGCATACTATAACCGAAATTCCAGCCGAATTGCTGCACCGGGTCATTGAAAATTGGCGTAAATGGGTGGAGATAGGCAAACGGAGCCGTGGTGAAATGGCCGACATTTTGTTCAAATCATAAAAGGCATAAAATGATCAAAATGTAAATGTTTTATTTCATTTTAACATTGCCTTGTTCTTGTTAGTAGACCTCATATATAATTTATGGTGCCTCTAACGTTTCTTTTTCGGTTTTAAGAACTTCGTGGCAAACTTAACATAGCCCGCTCAGTGTATAAATAGATAGCGACATGAAGCGAATTGAGAATCTCATATTTTGGCCTAACGAAATGTGGTTAACAACAAAAATTTATTTTCCTTTAGGTTCTCAATTCAAACACTAGAAATATTTCCAGCTAATGGAACAACAAAAAAGCATATTTTAAACGACATAAATCAAAAAAATAGCTCCAATAAAGCGAACAGACATTTTGGACATTTCTTCGAGTTCCCAGCAATCTTCTTCAGTAAGGTGAGCTACTGTCAACTAAAAATATATAAGAAGAACGAAAAAAGAGAAAACGGCACTGCAAAATGTGGGTTGTAAGAAAAAAAGTGATCAGAATCTCATACAATATTTAACAAACAGTAGCACGCTGTGATGTATTATCACTAGAAAATGTCCAAACTTGGTCAACCAGAATATATAGTTTTTGCTTTTATGATATACGAGAAGCCGAGGCATTTCAAACCGGCACCGTATTCATATAAACTAATTTGCTTATCATATGCATAACGAAGCTATTAAATTAAAAATTAAAAAAATTTTTTTGAGCAGCTATGCATAATAATACGAAATAAATGATTTGTAAATAAAATACCATCTAGTAACACTCGAGATCAAGGTTCTGACAAAAATTAAAAAAAATATAGATTCGAGAATCCTAATTGTGAGCAACACAAAATACAATATTCAATTATCAATATCATAGGAATGAAAACGCCTAATTGTCGGCAATATTTTGATTAAGTCACATAAGAACTTAAAAAAGGGTTGCCTACATTTAGGATAATTTTATATGTCTGTTGATTTCTTTTTAATGTTAACAAATAAAATAATAATGGTTACATATAAAATATAAAAAAAAGTGCATAATATAATACTTTTGTGAATTTATGAATTTACTCACCCTCTTAAATATGATGTTTTATCTGAAATAAAACAAATATGCTATGCTTTAGTAAAAAATCATATAAACTTTGCTTAAATAACACTATACAACACTTTTTTTTTAAGGGATGGAGTCGTAAGTAAAAATCATGATGCTCATAATTTTACTTCTCCCGTAACTGACATAATAAATTTAATGTTCGAAACAAGCTCAATATCAAATTTCGAAAGCAAATATTTCGATTTTGGTGGTTAATTTCGAAAAACGGAGAATTTAACTTTTTACTTATGTCAATTTCACGAAAAAGCTTGATTTGGTCCAATATCCAGAAAAATGTCAATTTTGTCGTACAGTGTAATTTACAATTTTTAAATGAATTTCTAAGAATATCATTTTGTAGAAGTCAATAGAGCTACTTTAGGACAACGCCACAGTAAATTGATAACCAGTGCTCAATAGCAGAACATATGTTTTGATGATCGTTTAAAATCGTTTCGAATAACAACAAAAACTAAGATAACCTCAAAATGACAGAAACCTTTGAATTCTTCACTTAACTACCCACTCGTTTCAACAAATCTAATCAAAGTGATCTAGTAATAGAACAACTAATAATGTTTGCTCTTATTCAGTTTTTATATATTTAGAAAGGAGTCTCACGAAGATGCATTAAAAGAGTAGCAATACATTGTATATCTTTGTCATAAATCGCTAAAATTTTACACGAATGTCAAAGCAGTTTTAAGTAAACTTTCGAAAATCTGGTGAAAAGCCGGCAAATCTGAAAGAATAACTAAACTTGGAACGAATTTAAACCAGAGTTGGAATACAAGCAAAGTCATTTGTAGGCCTGTCGGAACTTTCGTTCGCATTAAACGATTCAAAAATATCGAGTTTTCCAATAGGGATGATATGATTTCTAAGTGTCGTTTCGGCCATTTTTAATATGTCATGATCTGTAATTTTTTTTCATTGAACTTCATTTTTTCATTTCATAAGAGCAACATCTTCCCGAATGAAGCTCACTTTCATTTTAGTAGTGCGGTAAATAAACATTACATTCACCTAAATTGACAGTTTGGTGTGGTTTTCGATCTAGTGGAATCATCGGTCCGTATTTATTTCGAAATGAAGCTGGTGACACCGTTACTGTCAATGGATATCAGTATAGATCGATGATAAACAACTTTTTATGGCCGCAATTGGAAGAAGTTGATCTTGATAACATCTGGTTCCAACTAAACGGGACTACGTGTCATACAGCACGTGCAACAACCGAATTATTATTATAGAGAAAAGTTTGGAGATTCGATAATTTCAAGATTTTGTGACATTGAATGGCCTGCAAGAAGTTGTAATTTAACATCATTAGACTACTTCTGGTGGGGTTATTAGAAGTTATTGGTCTTTAGCAAAAAACCAGATTCTCTTCAAGCTAAAGAAGTCATTATTGAATATGATATTCATGACATACGACTTGATTTAGTGGAAAAGATACTTGAAAATTGGGTTCATCGAATGCGTATCCTTCTTATTGGAAAAACGTTTATTGTAATATTTGAGTAAATGTATAAGACTCGCTATTTATTATCTGCGTTAATGTTCAATTATTGAACTCAATCAATCCTTATCTTATGGAACTCAAGGGGGTGTACTTTAATGAACGAAACAATAGCGGGAGTGTGGAGTTACATTCGGTAAATGTGTTTTTCTCGTAACTATATGAATTAACAAAACTTCGAAAAAATTTACAGAAAATATGATTTCTTATAAGAGCGATCAACTGCGGTATCCAAATCGACAAAAGTATGAGAAGACATACTTTCAGTCAACTGTGTATCAAAGTTGCAGATGGGATACCCAAAAGAGTCGAGAGTATTACATATTTGGGATGATAGCTAGACTGCCGTTTCCTCGATAATCGATTCACTATGGATATTACTTATCACTGAAAATAAGAGGCGGAAAGTGTTTTGGCTGTGGCCTTTTGTGTATCCAAAACATAAATGAACAACCTGTTACTGAATACAGATGGGTCTACCAGGCAACCACAAAACAGCATCCACAGTAGTTGCAGCAACATCTAAAAGGATTACAAGAAAACATTGAAGCTAAACAATTGAAATATGAGGAGACAGCAGCCTGCTCCTTGGGAAACGAAAATTCAGAGCATAACACACCACAAACTCTCCAATGCTCGCAAAGCTAGTGCGCAGCATCCTACAAACCAGACGAGAACAATCAAGCTCTTGAGAGTGTGGTGAATACCGAATGCCGACAGATTGTGGACGCTGAAGACAAAAAGCGAAGACGCAAACCCGCAAAGCAGCAAACACAGCAGCAGCAAAAGCAACGCAGTTAACAGAAATTTTTCCGACTGGTTGCAAACAACAGCGCCAAAAGGTGCGCACAACTGTTGGACGCGCGTGGAGGCAACAACAACTGGCAGCAACAACCGGCAAGTCAGACAGCTATCCGCCGAACCAACTGGTTGTGTTTAGTTCGAATGCAACACGAACATTCGTGCGAAGCGAAAAAAAAACAAACGGTGAATGAAAACGAGCACAACAACAAAGGCAACGGCAGCATCACGACAAACCAAACAAACGAAAGACGGTCGAATGCGTACGCTTGGAAAACTCAAACAACAACAAGGGGGTGAGTGGGCAGGTAGCAAGTACCGCGGATTCGTTGTAGGTAAAGGCGAAGCAAGCTGACGAACTGCGGCCGATGCTACCGCAGTCACAGTCGCAGCCACCGAATCTCGGTACTTTTGCGCCGCAACGCGCAGCCGATACGATGCTACGTACGAATGGCAGGCCGATCGGCCGCGGCGGCTGCTTAGCTGACTGACGTGTGCGCTGCGTCTGCTTGCTGGGTGCTGATTTTCAATTTCAGTTGACTGTGAACAGGCAGCTTGAATCGACGTATACGTTGCGTATTGCTGTATCAAACTGTTTCAAGCCACATACGCAAACACACAGACGTAAACGACGCTGAGTTGTAAGCGAAAATCAGTAGTTTTTCAGTGTGAGAGATCATCGCGCGCGCGTTGAACCAATTCGAGTTGGTAGAACATTTGCGCGTTCGCAAGCCTGTTAATTAGACGGTCGGTCAGTCAGTTAGTACGAGCGTCGGTCGTCGTTTGTATGGTCGTTGAGTTTCGTGAATGAAATGCAGTTGAACCTGACGACGGGCGGTTAGAAAAGTGCAAGTCGCGTGCGCATTGAGCGCGTCTTGAGCATAACAAAACAATATTCATCATAGAAATTGGAAACAAAAAGAAGTGTGTAGCGACGAAAACGAAACGAAAGTGAAGTGAGCGTGTGTCTCGCGGTGATTGATTGATTGCTGAAAAGTTAAATAATGAAATTTTACGAGTTATTAATGTAAAAATTGCGATATTTCTGTGAAGGAATAATAGTAAATAACACAAGAAAACGAATCGAAATTAAAAAGATATTGCCAGCGAGCAGCTTCCTCTTCAGCTTAGCTGCTGATTGTTGTGAAAATTCTTCTGCACTTTCGTTGCGCACGTAATACGAAAACCGTGGCGAATTTTTGAGTGACATGCAAAATCACTTCTAAGAAGAATTAAAATTTCAGCGGTGTAAGAAAGTGAATTTCGCAGTGAAATTAATTAGAGAATTAGAAAAATCTTTATGCAACTTAGCAAGGATTTTCTAGTTGGTTGAAATAAGTTTTGAGTAAAAGTAATTGAGTGAAACTAACAACGAAACACAAAAACAAATATTTCCAGTAAGAAAAAATATATAAAAAATTTTAAACAAATTTCGCACAACTTTAAAGTTCGATCATTATAGAAAGAAATAATTTAAAAAAGTCTTTCAAACAATTTTAAAGAAAAGTGCTACAAACACTTTTAAGAAAAGTGCCAAAAAATTTATTCAGTAAAAATACAATATAATGTAACAGTTGTTTGTAAAAGAGTGTTATACAGAAAAACCTCTCCTGAACCAAAATTCTGAGCAGCGAAACTTCAAATACTAAAACAAAAACAAAATTTAGTTACAACAAGTTGAGCAGAAAATACGATAAAAACATAATTAATCAGTGTAAATCTACAAAAAAAAAAAGCATACAACAACAATAATTGTTTTAGTAGAGATAAAATACTACGCGAGAACAGACGCTTTCAAGCAAACTGTAATTAATCCAAACATAAAATACGAACAAGAAGCACTCAAATCCGACTTTACGTGCCCAAATAACAGTAATAAATCACAAAATTAACTAACGATTGAGTGATCAAACTAAACTCTCACAAAAGCATAATTGAGCGACGCAAACCAGCCGACAATTAGTCAACATCCAATCTAATCTCTATATTTCTTTACTCTTGACTACTCAAAGCCAACAACATGAAGCGCCTCAACGCACTACCCACATTACTTCCACTCCTGCTGCTAAGCGCACTCATCACTATCTGTCGCGCCATACCCAACGACGCGTATATGAAAATGATGGCCGCCGAAACGCCCAACGATCCTTGCTACGACGACGACAAGGCGCGCAGATGTATACCCGATTTCGTGAATGCCGCTTTCGGCGCACCCGTGCAGGCGTCCAGCACTTGCGGACTCGAGCAACCGCAACGCTATTGCGAATTGAGCGGTGCGGGTTCACAAGCTAATCTACAAGATCTGAGCTGTCACATTTGCGATCACACCAATCCGACGCGTCGCTTTCCCGAATCAGCGCTAACCGATTTGAATAATTCGAATAATGTGACGTGTTGGCGTTCGGCACCCGTACCGGCGGTGACAAGCATGAATGCGCCACCGGATAATGTATCGTTGACGCTGTCGCTGGGCAAAAAATACGAATTGACCTATGTGAGTTTGCAATTATGTCCAAAATCGGTGAAACCCGATTCGATTGCGATTTATAAGAGTACCGATTATGGCAAGACATGGCAACCATTTCAATTCTACAGTTCACAGTGTCGACGCGTCTACGGGCGTCCAAATCGTGCAACCATTACCAAACACAACGAACACGAAGCACGCTGCACGGACTCACGCGGTCAGGTGGGCGAAGTGACCGGTTTGCAGGGATCGCGTATTGCTTTCAGCACATTGGAAGGACGTCCATCGGCACGTGATTTGGATTCGTCGCAAGTGCTGCAAGATTGGGTTACCGCCACCGATGTCAAAGTCGTCTTTCATCGTCTGCAAATGCCTGAACCGAATACGTTGAATGTTGTAGAGACCAGCGGCGTAGATATGAAACCGAATGGCAAATATAGCGAAGCGGCAAGCAATTCTGTGTTGATACAACAATACGGTACGAATGTGATCGAACAACCAGCCGATGGCTTGGGCATACCAGCTGCGGTGACTATCTCAAGCGTTGCGTCGGCGCTGAACGCGCCCGCCGGTTTGGGCCAACATTATGCTGTGTCCGATTTCCTCGTAGGTGGACGCTGCAAGTGCAACGGTCATGCATCGAAATGCTCACCGGATCGTTACGGTGTGCTCGCATGCGAGTGCAAACATAATACAACGGGTCGCGACTGTGAACGCTGCAAGCCATTCCATTTCGATCGGCCGTGGGGTCGCTCAACGGCACGTGACGCCAATGAATGCAAAAGTGAGTAGCAACACAAATAAATGATATGTAATGAAAAGTAGTGAATGCTGTTGAATTAATCATTCATACTTATGTATCATGTTTACTGTTATTATGATCATGTTGTGGTTGTTGTGTTTTTTGTGTACTCAGTTTGCTTTGCATTAATGATGATGAGGGTTCTCGGAGGCGTCGATATGACAACTTAATTAATGTTTTATGCTAATATAGATTTCAAATGTGTTTTTTGGGGTGTTTAAGGTGTTTTGGGGGTTAAAAGCGAAAGAGAAGTTATTATTTTCACGAATGTATGCATATATAAAATATTATTATACGAGTATTTAGGTTTATGGATATTATTGAAATACGCGCATATAATTAGCTAGCGTGCACTAAAGTGAGATTAGGCTCAGACACTGCTTTTAGGCTTGCTGTTTATTCACCGAACGGCAGTTTTTTTTTTTTTTTTGGTTTGAGAAACTCATAAAAGCTTCGCGCTCGTGGTTTCGCATGCCTATAGAATTTGACGCTATATAATACTTTATATATACATGCATCTATGAACATGTTGCTTTGTAATCTAAAAAAGGCATGAGGCTATTAAAATAAATATGACGCTAATCACTAAAAATGTCGGCGTTTTTTTATTTTCTATTTGTAAACATATGTTTTTAACCAAATATAGCTACAAGAATCTTTCAAATTTTAAAATTAAATGACAATACAAAAGCTTACCGCGTTCGATTGTCAAAATATAGTATATAGTTAAGCTTTAGTTTTGTAAACAAATCACTTAAGAATTTTATAAATGAGTGAAACAATTTGAAAAAAATGTATATAGGTATATCCTCGTACAGATAAATAAAAGTAAATACAAAAAAGCGATGGTTAACTTCGACTTTTTATAGCTAAACCTTTCAGATGTGAATTTTTTGTAGCTAAAAAAGGTATAGATTTTTTCCTGATTTTGATTGATCAGTGTGTTTGACAGCTCTATACTATATTGGTCCGATCTAAGCAATTTGCTTAGGAATTGGTGTCTTGCAGCTATATGCTATAGTGGTCCGATATCGGCGGTTCTGACAAATGAGCAACTTCTTGTAGAGAAAAGAATGTCTGCAAAATTTCAGACCGATAACTCAAAACTGGGAGACTAGTTCGTGTATATACAGAGGACAGAAAGACGGACATATCTAAGTCGACTCAGCGGTATATATACATAAGTATACGTTTAATAGGGTCTCCGACGTTTCCTTCTGGTTATTATAAACATTGTGGCAAACCTTATATTAAGTTAAGGGTGTTTTTTTTTTGAACATGTGGTTTCCAAGAAGAAATAAAACGCATATAATTTAATGATATGGCCAATTTGTCTTTATTATAAAGATAATAAGTGCAAGTGACCGCCACGGTTGGCTTGAATAAATTCCAGCCGAGACGCATAATTTTCGACCAACGACGCGAGAAGCTCTCCAAAAGCTTCATTCACAAAATTGATTATTTCGTTGGCGGTATGGCATGTAGCGTCGTTTTGTTGGAACCAAACGTCGTTCACATCAACACTCTCCAATTCAGGCTCGAAAAAGTCATTAACGATGGTTCTATAGCATTTCCCTGTAATATTATGACCAGCTTTGTTTTTGAAGAAATAAGAACAAATGATTCCCTCCGCTTGTTGTGAAAATTGGGATCGGTGGCCCTTTGCCGATTATACGACGCGCTTGATGGTCCTTCAGCTTCAATTCTTACACGAGTTGAATTTTGTAAGCCCGCAAACCAAGATCTTCCACTTCTTCGATACTCCACTCCATAGCAGTAATAGTGTCTTTTTCGTGCGCACTATTCGAATTCACTGAGAATGCGTAGTATCCACTTAAGTTTACGTGGTGCGAAACCGATCCATGATTGCCGACTCTGCTGGCCGATTATGAACCGATTTTATTATTTTGGTAATAAATTTCCACGATTTGCACACGTTGTTCCGTAGTTAGTCTATCCATTATGAAATGGCAAATAAAACTAAAGTTAAATCAAGTAACAGCTGCCAAAAAGACCAACGCCAAGAAAGGTATTGCTGCAATGAAAACCACACATCTAAAAAAGCACATCCGGTAGATAGCAGACAGCTCTGAGCACAGATTTAAAGGATTTCGCAAGTTAAAGTAACTAATATCTAGTGAACAATAATATTTACGATGATCTCAGTTAAAACAGGGAATTTAATTTTAAGAGGGCTCTTACTTTGAAGACCATTTACCAATAGTTAAGAAAATATCTTCCGACTGTTTCATAAAAATATGATGAATAACGAAATGCGCTCGATATATGGTTTGAAAAAAGTCGGAAGAGAAATCTGCTGGATTCTCAACTTTAAACTGTAACCAACAAACCTATACAAATAATGAATCAATGAAAAGGGTAACTTGGTAATCGTTTACTTAATGGCGAAAACCTGATGCATTTATTTACAAAAAAAAAACACATTATTTATTTCTCTATTTACACTAAATACCTACTTAACCTTTTTGAATGCAGCTGGGCGTGCCACTTGCCACCGGCGATCCTTCAATAGAACACAAGTTTTTCTTCCCTTGAACTTCGCTCGTGTTTACTTTCGATACAAAAACGAAATAAGGCATTGGATTGCGCTTTTTCTCCGGCACATTGCAAGCTTGCGCCGCATATGGCACGCTGTGGCACGTTTTAATCATGTTTATGCATTGGCTTAGGCTTATCCATCATTGAGCAACATTGAACACGTGTGCGTGGCGCAAGTGGCACGAGGCAGCTGGGGATGAGAAATTTAAGAGAAATTCGGTATTGGGAATTGTATAATTTGTTGGTGCATGCAACATGCGACTGCAAGAAGTTGATATGTATCAGAAGCTGCTGAAAGGCAATGAATGTTTAAGTGCGTTTGAAAGCGAACTCCCGTGCGGCTGGAAGCGCTGATACGCTGACAGGCTGGCGATTGGCCCTCACTTTAGCGCCATAACGATAATCCCATGAGTGTGCTGTTATTAAATTCCATATTGGCCAGCAGAAAAGGCGAGCATTTAGTGTGGCTTTTGGCTGTGTTTGTGTGTGCGTTATGTAGTGAAAAGAGGTGTTGGGGCACTACAGTGTGGATATACAATATTCTATATCTGCATATCTGTTGCTTTAATAATCCCTGCCACAACTACGTTTCGTTATAGCGCACCAGCTTGTTGCAGCATGCAAATAATTTAAAATTTTACAATCTTACAGCCGTTCAACAGCCTTGACTTAAGCCGTGCTGAGCTCGGCATGCGCTTGAGGCGTTCGGCGTGCGCTCTCACTAAGCTCACTCTGCCACGAACGTCAGCGTCGCTGCTGCATTTGATGTGTGCAATGCGTGTAAATGATGTTTAATTAAATCAATTCCTTGTTTGACTGCCGGATTTGCAATTCGGACTAATGAGACGCGCGTAAGCAGTGCCACGGTCATAAGGTTGCCATATGTTGCAAGCAAATTAAATGAGTATGCAAACGCTGTATGAGTGCTGAGGGTTTCCTATAAGATTTTACGACTAATTTTACGAGGCATCTGGCATTGGTTTTATGTGAGAAATTAGAACTGAATTACTTTGTAGTGGAAAAAGTCGTAAAGTTGCGAGATTTTAAGTGTGAAACTAAAGTGGCGTTATTTTACGCTTTCTAAAAATTTGAACACACACATATACACAAATGTATTTCTACGAAAAAAAAAAAGAAAAAAAGCAATAACTTCGACTTATAATACCCTTCACAAATGCATTTTTGATAGCAAAAAAGGGTATAAAACGATCTTTATCTTGATTTTGATGGGTCAGAAAGTATGGCAGCTATATGCTATAGGCGCCCGATCTGAACAATTTGTTTATGCCAAATTTCGTGAATTTTCCAGACAAGGACTTGGTTTTATTCAGTATATTGCTATTGCAGTTATATGCTATAGTGGTCTGATTTAAACAATTTTTTCGGTGTTAAAGGGGCCTGCCTTGGATAATAATGTGTTCCAAATTTCGTGAAGATATCTCGCCAAATACAAAATTTTCCATACAAGGACTTGATTTTAATCCACCAGTTTGTATGACAGCTATACGCTACAGTGGTCCGAACTGAACCATAAATTCGAAGATTGTAGCGTTGCTTTGGTTGCAATCATTCATACCAAATTTTGCGAAGATATGTTGTCTAGTAAAAAAGTTTTCCATATAAGAACTTTATTTTTATCGATCAATTTTTATAGCAGCTATATCCTATAATGGTATAGTAATGGATATAAAAATAAACATTTTTTATGAATAAGTTTTCTAAACCATAAAATTTTCAAGTGTCTACTTCAGAATTCATGCGAGAATTTTATCACAAACAAAACGCCTACAAGCGTAGAACCCTCACCTTCACCCTTACCTTCAACATTACACTAACCCTAAACCTTTTTTTCTAATATGCACACATACACCCAAAAGTATATTACATGCTCAATTTTAATGCCAGCCAAAATATTTTCGAAGTTTCAACAGCAAATCAAAAGCAAAAATAACAAAAAATATAAAAACAATCAATAGAAAAATCGCAACCCTTAAAAGTGAAGCGCAAGGCAGAAATCCTGCGAGTAATTAAAATGCAAAAAACATTTTGTACAACATATTTGTGAACAAAATTAAAACAGCAACAACAACAACGACATTCAACAGCAGCAAGTAGTCACTCCATTACCGACAAACGGAAATTTTAACCGAAATTAATTTGATAAGCGTGTCCTGGCGCAGGCAAGCATAGAAAAAAATCACAAGCGCACACACAGCCAGGAACAACTTCTTACACACACACACACACATATATACACAAACACCTCATTGACACACACTATTAGCACACATACGCTCACAACCCAAATGCACCGTTAGTCGCCGTCCGGTCCGCAATCAGACAGCGGCGTGGCGGTGGTGAGTGCTATGCACCCTGCTGCTTAGCCAGCGGGATATCTGGCCGCCTACCCTTCCTGCTGCCAG